GGACAGTTTTGAAAAAATAAAATACTCAAATAAATGTGTAAAATGAGTTCCATCTCTGTGAAAGTGTGGAGCGCGTGCGCGTCACGCTGTCGCCAACGTGGTAATTTGGAAGAGCCAGTTCTCGGAAGCAGTAAATCAAAGTGTATCAGTGCTACTACTTAAAGAATGTGGCATATATTTTAGCGCGAATATTTACAAAAAATCATCCCTGATGGCGTTACATAAGATTTTCTTAATTCCATTGTCTAAGCGTGCATCTATTGATCTACATGATTTTGATCTACAATGAAACACAAGTGACTTGAAAAAATCGATAACAAAAGAGCATGGCACGGCGCTGACATTGTGAAGGTATGCTTACAATTAAGCTTTGCTTCGCATTGTATGCGACCTCTCATTCATTATTTATTTATATTTTGCTGCTGCTACGTATATTAATTTGTGAGGGTTGAATTATTTAATAACCGACAGTAGCAATGCCAGGGTTAGAATCCGCTGCAAATGACAGCTTCACGCGTATGCTGGCATTTCCATGTAAGCTTATCACCCGGCTAGTGCTATATACGCTTAGACTGGATCAGATGATGTTTTCGGGTCAGCTGACAGGTGGTGCCAATGGCCGATTGAACCGCTGGCTGGCTTTTCTTAATGTGTCATAATTTTTGCGACAGCAGACCATATTGCGGGAATGGGGCCTCGTTCATCGATGCCATTACGTAATTACTATAAGTGGAAAAGCTCCTCTCCGGGCTACTCCCAGCACGGAAGCAAGTTAATACGATGTAAACATCTTCTTCAAACATTTTTCAATCAATAATTTTCAAAAGAAACTATCACAAATATAGTTTACAACACATATTATGAAAAAGAAAGATTAGGGTTCATTTTTGGGAACCAAAATTCGAATGAAGGGAAGAAAACGTGCAGGAACGAAAATAGCACGAGAAAATTCGAAATCGCTTCGTGACAACTTTCAAAGAAAACCCTTGATGAGATTTGGATTTTGCTCAAAGGAACGAGTACAAAGAAAAAATGGCCAGAAATTGGAGTTATTAACGTTTTACCTTGGGTAAGTCCAAAATATCGATTTATTACAAAGTCATAATTAGAGGAAAGCTTTGTTGGTCTTGTTCCTCAAAGCACTACAGTATCTTAGGCTGCCGAAGGCTGTCTTCAGTGACTCGTCCATGATTGGCCGAGGGGCGGGCCGAGGCGGCAACGCCAACAAATGTCACTGAGTCTCCTGAGCGAACAACGCTTTACAATTCTTACATATCTGGTTTCATTTTGTTTGTGAAATCGTTTTTCATCCCCTAGACCTGCCAACAAGCGAGCGAGAGAGTGGAAGTTTACATATAAGCGAGAAACAGAACGAGAGTGAGAATCAGATGTAAAGAATGTGCCGTTATCAGTTTAAAAAACGTATTTTCCACAAAAAGCACGAATTCTTCAATCGGATATGTCCCTTATGTCTATATTGATTGTTGCGAAAAGAAACCCTAGCTGGTGAAACTAGGTATTCGCTTCAAGCGGCTCTTGTGTAGGGGCTTCACATGGTTGTGTGCAGCTTGACATCTTTCCACCGTTATTGATTTTTACTTTGTCACGGCTACTTTCATTTAATCAATTCACTTTCTATTTTGTATGCTCTTCCTATAATCCTTTTTTAGGGTTCTGTCATAAAATGCATGGACTAGGAGAAGCTGGCTCCAGTGAGACAGGAACAACGCAGAATGGTCATTACTCCATAAGAAATGGTCAGGATTTCAGATCTCTTACTCATTTCTTATTGAAAAACCTTCCAAATAGTTAGCATGTAAGAAAAAACATTCGATCGATCCTTTCTGGGATGCGCCAGGCATTCGATAAACATGCAAAATCGATTTCACCTGTGTGATGACTTGCGGAGCTGGCAAAATTCACTATTTTTCTGTCTTACCGGACAGACGAATCTGATGCTGATAACTCATAATGGATGAAAGAAAGCTTCTCTGGCTTACGGTTAAATTACCTGATTTAAGTGACGGGAGACATTGAGTTCAGGTTAAAAAATGAAAAAGATCGGGCAAGAAGGGGGTATTCTCAAGTAGGGTTATAGGTCACACGCTTAGGTGACACCACTCACTACGCTTCCACTTCCGCCTAGAGCCCATCCATATCGTTCTCTTGAGGGAGCAAACACTTCAAGTTATTTGTTTCCAACGACCCGCCTTTTTGTCTTTTGCACACACACATATCCATTATTATATGCATCACTATTTTGATTTGAGAGACGAAAATTTGAAGCGATTTTTCGTTCCCCCCGCCTAGAGGAAGATGATAGATACGGCCCTAGGTATCTTGAATAAAAATATATGAGAGCGAGGGAAGTGGCAAGGGTCAGTTCAACAATAATCAAAAAATGATTCAATCCTGCGTTTGAGAATGTGAAGCTACAGATGCGCTCTCATAGAAGCACTGGCAAGCCTAATAGCCGGGCAACTACTAAGTAAGCCGATTCGACATGTGCTTAAAGCTCTTCACACATTGTACCAGGTGGTTGGTTGCTGCACTCATCCGACACTACCTGTTAACCCGAGCGCATCTGCCATATTTGCGCTTCACTAGTATGACTGCCATTAGCGGTCTCTGTTAATGCCGCTTTGAGTTCCAAACGGCTTTCTGTTCAGCCCGATAGCCCGCTAAGCCCTGGGTTGTGAAGCTGGAATCTGTTCAGCAAAATAAATTCTTTTTGTTGGATCATATATCACTCATGCTCAGTTCGTGCTCAGTCAGTCTCATGTCTTGCCTTAGCTAATTCCGTTCTTTATCGGCTAGCCACCTTGTTCAGTGTGTAGTGGGCGTATGTATGTGATAAATTATTCTGACTAACAATCCATCATTCCAGAGAGCTACGTGTTGTGCGTGTGCTCCCGTTGTGACGTGCCCATACGAGAGAGGTTCGTCAACCGGGTTCTCGAGCGGTAAGTACATGGAGCAATGAAAATAGGGAAATCATGGGATTTTACTGCTTGTTAGAGCAAACCCTTGTAAACTATCGATTTACAGCTATGCACCAAAATAACTCTGGAAGCTTCCATTACAAGTAAGAAAACTTTAATGCTTCACTAGGCATCTGGACTAGTTTAAGCTCGCATATCGCACTATTTTTATGGGAAAAGGGTTCTATGTGTTTTTGATTTAATAAATGAACACATTCACAAGATTCAAAAATTAATAATAAATATGTATATTTTCAAGATTCAAAAAATAGTTAATAATACAGTTACTAATAACACCTTTGAATTTAACTTTGCTTTTAAACGATAAATAAATACATTTACTGATAAAAATTATTTTTTAAACCTTGTAACGTATTTATTATTTACCCATAATAATAAACTCATTTAGGAAATTTAAAAATAAGAATTATTGCATAAAACAGAAAATTTCCTATGAAACTTACAATTCTATCAAATTGTATTTATAAATTATTCAGCATTGACAAAAAACTTCAATTATCTGATATCTATCTTGATA